GCAAACAACCTCTTTTTAGAAACAAGTAGCAATAAGTTTGTTTGCAGGAGAAATCAAGAATCTCAACAAAATATGATAAATGATTTAAGAATCATCTACACTGAAGAACACTTCTTATGGAAAACCATCAAGATAAGACTTAGATGAAACACATGCAAGGAACACACAAGATAATGTACAACACAGACCTTCAGAACATCATAGATATATAAATAGAAAACATATGCAAAACTCTAACAATTGTGGGCCAGCTTCTTTGTCAATGTCAAATAACTAGAGAATTTCACACAGAATGCCATGCATGCTTTGGCTCACAAGTGAAAGCATAACTTAATGACAATGACAAGTAGAAGGCAGCTTTGCAAAGCAAAAAGTAAATTTACAGAGAATTGTTTACATACATGATCAAGAAGTGGAGAAATCACGCAAGAATTGACAGGACGCTCCGTCACATATGTTTTGACAAGTGTCAGAGTTCTTATATCCCAGAGTTAGAAAACAAGAAATCAGGAAAAATAAGAGATAGATAAATAAATCCTAGACTGAACATAATGGTGAGCATCATATAGCAGCATTAAGGATAATGGTTGGCACCTTGGCAGATTTATCCAAGGAACCAGTCAAGAAATGGGAACCATCTGCAGATTTTGAGAGTGAGCTAATTGTTTTCTGATGACCAGTTTCTTTGTCAGATTCCTTCAAGAACTGACCAGTCTGTAAAATTTACATACAAATGCACTGATAAATATAAAAGAAATAGGATGCAGAAAACAAAGGGATATATGCCAATGATTAACAGCAAGATTTATAAAGTCGATGTGTAAGTCAGGTATAGTAAGTTAAATTACATGATATTTCGTTGCTGTTACCTTTATTTTGATATATCTTGACAATACTCTAAGCCAATGCAATCCATAAGGTTAATGGATGAGTTACCAAACAGAAATCCTCAGTCAGATAAATGGGGAAACAATACATTACATGTAACTTAAGGTTGTCAACCATGGTTTGTTGCATCATCTACATCTTCCCATGGGCCAGCTACTTACTTTTGATATCCGACTCATGGAAACAGCATTGCCAAAACAGAAAAATGTTTCTAAAGAGGAAAACAGAAGACCCAACATGGACTGTCACATTCTGTGTAATGAAACTATGTTGTTCCAAGTATCATAGTTGACACTATGCAAAAAATATTTCTTAACATTAGAAGATGAATTTCCATATAATAATGTAAGCATCTAACTCCCTATCCATCACTTCCGCATAGTATAGCCAAAATAATCTACGATCAAAGTATACTTCACCTCCTGTACTACATTATGCTCAATAGAGGAAGCCAAAAACAAAAAGTTTAAAACAAAATCATTTCATGTGAATATCAACATGAATGTTATAAAATATGTGACCAAATAAAAGCATATGAAAGGAATGATGCAACCCACCTCAGTATCCCATACTCGGATTACTGCATCTTCACCAGCACTTATAATAGTCTTGTTTAGTGGTCCCCAAACAGCCCTATTTATAGGTCCCTGAGGCCCCTTGATTGTAAGGACTGATTCACTAGTCTCTGCATAAAAAAACATTTCACAAGTGAATAATTGACAATGTTAGAGAATAATCAGAAATAAAAAAAAGCAGGCATTATTAAGAAATAATAATACACATATAACATGAGAAAGAGGGTGAGCCTTGGAGCCAGTCATGCTACAGTAATTTTATTCATTTGTGACCTTGGATGACAGAGTTGAAGTCATAGCAACAACCTACTGAAAGCTACATATATCAACCCCTTACCAGATCCTGCACACATGGGAGCCTCGTGCGCTGGACTGCCCCTTTGTTAGCACTTACTAACATTAAAAGCTGCTTTGTCTGTGACGGTACCATTATTATACTTTCCAATTTCAGATGGCCATTGCAAGTGGAAAAATAAAATTAATGTGACAAGCCAACAGAGGAAGGATAGTGCTCAGTTGTGGAAAGGTGGAACAGTCAACGTCATTAATACTGTAACAGAGCTGGGATGAGCCCAATGATCTGAAAAGTTGTAGCAACAGAACATGCTAAACAATTATCACTAAGAAGGTTCCAAATTCAAAATTTTGCTTATTTATCACTTTGTCATTCATACTTCAATCAACTAAAAGTTTATAGAAAACACTAAACAGGGTGTACCCAATACATGAAGCTCTTGCCAATGCAGGATCGGGAGAGGAGAGGGTCAATGTACACAGCCTTGCCTCTAAATATAGAATATAGAGAGGTTGTTTCCGTGATAATACTATTAATGAAAAACACTCGCAGAAAATAAATTAATGGTATTATCAGTTTGTTGGTGAGCATCTAATAATGATAATATTAAAAAAGAGCACAAATCACAGTCAATTATAGAACATGGAAGGCTAATAGGTCTGAATATATAAGGATAAGATGGAACAGATCTTGATCTTTCTTTCTCTGCTTTCGTCGAAAAATTTTCTTGTTCTATATGTGTACTAACATAACCAAACATGCAACTTAACCATTGGTTCTCAAAGAAGTGTAAGAACTACAACTTGGTCATGTTCGGATCCAAACCTCTAATAATAAAAGTTTTAAAGTCTTATTGAACTTCGAGTTGATCAGAAGAGTCATAACAAAGAGCCATATAGGCGAGCTGTAGCGGCTATATCCTTTTAGGATTGTGTATCAGAGAAAGGCACGATGCATTTGTGATAAATTATTGGTATCTAAGAATAGAATCAGCTAATATTTGCAGGTTTCTTGTATCTTGCCTTGTTCTCTCTATAATATTAAATTCTGATAGTTCTATCTTCTATTTTCTAGTCTACCTTAATACTACATAGGATGTCAATAATATTTAGCTATATAGACAACAAAGAAGACTTTCTTCAGGGTGCGTATCAATTGTAGAACGAGATAATGTTAGACAGTCCCTATATTCATTAGGATCTCTGGAAATTCATTTCACTTGGATGGTGGATGGCAACCCCATAAACGGATCAATTGTGATTACAGCAAGTTTATCAGCAACAGAGAAATCCACAGATTTAGCAGGACAATCAAAGTTGAAAGAGAAGAGTTGAGTTCCTGTCTGGACATTCCACAGCTTTACGGTCTGATCTGCACTTCCTGTAATTAGGCGCATAGAATCACCTAGATACATCACCAAAAGAATGTCAATTACACAATCATAAATACATAATCTCCAACGATAAAAGACTTGATCTCAAGTAGATAGTTATCCTAGACAACCATTCTGCTAATTTAATAATTCCTGTAGAAACAGACACAAACAATACATTGAGGCAGAATCAAATGCACCAAGATATATTTGTTCCTCAAATTTTCAATGGACATAAACCATTGGATATTTTTCTGACTTCAAAATGGAATATTGTCACAATTTTTTGCTTTCGGATGAAATATTAGATTTCTCACAAAGAAGCAAATCTTAAACAATTTACTTTAGCGATAGGAATACCAACTGCAAAGACAGCATGTGCTGCACAAGAACAATAGAGTTTCAAGAAAACAAGCAAACAAACACTAATTAGGTCCCACGAGTGGAAATGCAACCATCAAAAACATATTTTTCTTCCAAAACTCGATTAAATGACAACAGACCGACAACCATGATAGTTATCAAGTTCAAACAATGAAACAAAAGCAACAAAATCGAAACCTTTACATATATAAACCAGGAAAAAGAAACATTGGCAACATCCAAAACATTTCTTCAGAAGACATCGCAGCCAAACAAAGAGAAAGCATGTCCCGCGCAGAAGAGCTCACGGGAGACGTCGCAGCACCATACGGCGCCATTGTGTCCACGGTAGGTGCCGAGCCTCTCGCCGTTATCGGCAAACCAGACGGTCGGCGTGTGGTCGGTCCTTGGCACGGGAGAAGAGCAAATCTCCCTCCCTGTTGTACTTGAGAAACGTCAGCGGCCGCTCATGGCCCTTCATCAAGATGGGCGTCGTGGCTTCTCTCTCTCGACCTCTTCACGTAGCGTGGAAGAGAAACCCTTGTAATTCTCGATTTAAGAGGTCTGTCGGCCGGAGCAAATGGGGGTTCATGTGGAGCCGAGCAGATATTATCTGTTGGGTTGCAATGATGAACATGGTATATAGAAATCGGACCGACGAGATGGGGTTCATGTCGAGCCGAACCAAACTGAACCAGTTCAGTTAGACCTGGCTGAACGCTGATTCGGTTCATGTTGAACCGAGCCAAACGAATCCCATTTCTATAATGGGCACGCCAATCCGGCTTACTATCCCATGCGCCGATATCAATGTGTGGCCCGGTTCTTATTAATTCAACAAAGTAAGAAGACTCCAGCAATATAGAAGAACAATAACAATATAATGGTAATGTATCAATTATCTTAGCGATATCTCAACACAATATCCTAGTAATTAATGTATTATAATAGTATAGGTTATATAGGTTTGAGGTTCCAATGCATGTATAAAACATCTTATATATCATTTAATATAATTAAATTTTTAAATATTATTTAAATATTATATATAATGATGTAACAATTCATTTCACATTATCATTTTTTTATTTTTAATTTAAAAAAAATAAAAAAAAAGTAACAAAGATGATATTTAAATATTATATATATATATATAATAATAATAATTATTATTATTATTATTACCTTGTCTTGTTTATGTCCTGTCCTCCACCCGGAGTCCAGTTCAAGACAGTTAGGCCCGGTTGGTTGATGTTTGACCATTGAACAGGTCAATGGGTTGACAACAATAGGCTCTGTCGGTACCTGGGCTGGAGCTGTCGGCTACGTGTGCGGGTGTTCCTCACCTCCTCTCTCTCCTCCCTCCCAACCTCCCCCATGCAACCCCCTCGCCTCCACCACTACCACCACCTCCTCCACCTCTTCTTCCTCCTCTTTTCTCTCCACCTACCGTCATCGCACCTCCCCCTTCCCCCTAACCCCCACCCCCCCGCCACCCACTCTGCGTCCCTCCCTTCGCTACCCACCCTCCCATGGCGGAGCGGGCGCCGCCCAGCACACCGCCTCAGCCGGCCGCCGATGCTCCCCCTGACCCTGCCACCGCCGCGGACCCCCCCGCCGATCCCAATCCCCATCCAGAATCCTATCCCCAGCTCGGCACCTACGTCGTCCAAGTCCCCAAGGACCAAGTCTACCGCGTGCCGCCGCCCGAGAACGCCTACCTGGCCGAGCGGTACCGCAACAAGGACAAAACCCGGCGAAAAAGCCCCTGCGTTGGCTTGCTGAAATGGATCCTCGGCGCCGCCCTCCTCATCTTTTTCCTCCTCATAGTGATCGTGGTCGTCTTCTTCGTCACTGTGAAACCTGCGACGCCCACGTTCGCCGTCGAACGCCTCTCCGTCAAGAGCTCCGGCACATCCCACCGGAAGCCGGAGTATGATCTCACGATGAGAGTCCACAACCCGAGCCAGAAGATGGGCTACGCCTACGAGGCCGGAGGGACGGCGGTCATGGCCCACAGCAACGTCGACATCGCAGCGGGGAAGACGCCGGGGCTCCACCAAGGCTACCAGAACACCACCACCTTCCGACTGGTTCTTCATGGCTCCAACACCGACGGGCTACCGAAGACGATCGATCGGAGTCTGAATGGATCGAAGGACGTTGTCCCGCTCGAGGTCACAGCTAGGTTCGTGGTGACGCCAAGAGCCATGGGGCTGGATCTGTGGTCGACGAGCTTGGACATGGCGTGTGCTGTTCGAGCAAGTGGACTGGGCAAAGAAGCTCGTATCGTATCTCAAGAATGTAAGTCCAACCTTAAGCTGTGACCGAGGTGATGATGGAAGGATGAACTGAAAAGAAATAAGCTATCCTCGAGCTTTTTGTTCTTGAAAGTGTTCCTTTTTTTTTTTTTTTTTACTGGAGGACTCGACCGATTTAGAGGTCGTTTGTAATATTGGTGTGTTAAGGGTTGTAAGATAGACATAATTGATTTGTTTTGGTGATTCATGCAGGGATGGATGGATCTCTGCAGTCAAGAAATAAAAATAATCTGTACTCAAATCTTCTCTTATAAAACCTTGTTTATTTATTATGTTATAATTTGTCCGTTTCTACCTATTACATTTCATTTCGAAGGTCAATTAACATAGATTAGGCATAAATTGTTCTTGCCATAGACTATATATATATATATATATATATATATATATATATATATATATATATATGTATCCTCTAATTTTGATTTTTTCTTTTTAGAGCATCTTTACTTGAAAAATATACAAACAACATTCCTTGGTGAACTATTTTATCCGTTTATCTCTTGATAGCTAAGTTACTGTTTTTAGTTCTTGGTGATATTGATAGACATACGAGACATCTAAGTTTGAATGAAAATCTTTTGTTCAAGAACCTAAGTTTTGGGATTCTTTTTATAGATTTGAATGACCCATTTTATTATAATAAGGATGATGCTAGTGGTGATATTTTCAAAATTAAATTGACTGAAAAAAGATTAGAGATAAAAGGTAATACAACTCAAATATTTATGATGCATTAAATGTTGTAGGTCAAGGAATTATTTTAAGTGAGGATATGCATAGTAATATTGAATAAGTACTTACTAAATATGGTTTTAGTTAAGATGATAGTCTATTGTTAAACACACCAGTTCTTCCTTATTACCATTCATACAATATTCTATTTGTTGGTAGGTACGATATTTGAATAATATTAAAGTTATTTTTGATATATATTATTTTTTAACTTAAATAATATTTTTGTATAGTTGTTTAGGGGATAGGGCTAAATTTTAAAAAGTGTATTCATAGAAATTTTGAGATTAAACATGTTGTAAGTAGAAATTATAAGATAAAAATAAAGTATAAAGTTTTTTATTACCAACGGATGATAGTAGCTCGTGGTAGAACTGATAGTTTTATAAAGAGTGTTAATTGTAATCGTAATTTATCAAGTTTCATAAAGAGTATAATTGTAATTTATCAAAATTGAATGGGGATCATAAGAAATGTAACAATACCTTTGTTACAGATTAAATTAAAATATCAAGTTTTAACAAATGTTGATTATACTTCAAAGATGGTTATTCCTAATATTAAAAAAAGATTTAAAGTTATTGTTTCAAGATTTATTTTGCATGAAAGATTATACTTAATAGGTTCATGGTGACTTTGATTAGTTAAATACTAATATAATTTTATTTTTAAGAGAGTTAAAACTATATAATTATGAGACTCGTGTCCAAATGATAGTTTCATCATAAAATCATTTTTAAAGAATATGTTGAGCTTTAGAAGCTTAACTTACAAGTTTTAAATTACATATGCAATATGTTATTGGTATCGATATTGTATATCTCTCAAGCAAATCTCCTGGAGCTTTGATAATGGCTATAACTTTTAATGGTCATACTAGATTGTTTTCAATTATATTTGTTTTGATGGAAATTGAGTGTAAGGATTCATGAGAGTAATTCTTGCATCAATTAAGAATATATATTATGAGATGCGGAAATTTGATTATTGTAAGTGATTGAAATCTAAAAAATTCTTTTAGCTACTAAAGAAATCTTCCCAACATATTATCCTTATTGCATGGTTAATCTATTTAAAAATCTTACGAGCAATGTGTGAGATAGAGAGGCTATAAAATTGTTTTAGGTTAATCTCCTATTATATATAAGTTTAATGAATGTATACAAAAATTTAAAAAAAGGTTTCATTTAGATATATGAAATTAAGGAGAAATGAGCTTTTGCATATTTCTTTAGTCGTCGTTATGTAATGGTTACCAAAGATACATCAGAAAGTACGAATTCATTACCGAAAAATGTTTGTGTCTTATATGTTACTTTTATGATTAAAATGATTAAAAGGAAGGTCGCTTAATGTTCTACATCCGTCATGAAATAGCTAATAATTTAAAATCAATTTTTACAAGTATTATCAAGGATCAACTTGTCAAGGTGAAGGATAAGGATCGATATTATGATGTTTTTTCTTATACTCGTATTGAATTATAATTGTAGACATCTTCTTAGATAAGATAGTCATAATGGATTTAGAGAAAAAAAAATTCTCATGTGAACATTTTAATATTTTAAAATTTTCATATTCTCATACTATGCTTGCTATTTGGTATATGAATGATAATCCATATTCTTTTGGTAAAGATTATTATAGAGCTAACACATATAAAAACACTAAAAATAATAAAAATATTTCCTATGAGAAATGAACAATATTGAATGCCATAAGAATACATATATATGTATATAAATTAAAATATCTTCTAGTTAATACCTCTTCAGAATTATAATATTGGTAGTAGTTTAAATAAGTCCAAAGACTACTGCTAACTACGAAGGCGATAGGAAGGTAATTTCAGAGTCTAGTGGCTATTTGTTCATAAGAAATATGAACTTGACGTACTGAGATGACAGCCATTGATTTAAGATAGTCAACTTTCAGAATCCAGTTACTAACTTGCAATGATTTATTAGATCTTCTCTGTCAGACAAAGTCGAGATATGTAGCCTAGGCAGATCAAGTATGTTCATGTAAACTTCCTTACGGTGTTATTGATTCATAGATCATGAAATGTGCAACTACGTACAAAGATCACCATCATGATCTATACAAGGAGGAGCAAAGAGCAATGAGACCAATCGCTAAGCCAAGCATAACCAGATTCAGATGCATCCTTCCGAGAAGGAAGGAGATGGCTGCAGAGGTTAGAACAACTTCATGGCTAATAAGGATTTGGAAAGAAAATGGGGAGAAAAAAATGAAGTGGAACAACGAGCATTATGGCAACCAGTTTGATCTAAAACATGTGAATTCCATTCAAACTCTGATTCAGATCACGGGTAGCAAATAATAAATACACTTCCATATTTACTTACAAAACCTTGCTATTAGAAAGTGTTAAGAATCCAGTGATTAGAAATTAGCCAAACCATGAACTAGAACAATCATTTTACTTCCATTCTTCCACGAGTGCTTTTTTTTAAGTCCAGTAGCCACCAAAATTCACTTTGACACATGTAACGAACACATTTGTCCCATGAACTCCAATCCTTTTTTTGTTTTTATCCAAGTTCTGCTGCTGCCTGCGAGCATAAGTCAACCCATATGAGATCTTGCGTTACATTTCTGGCACTTGATTGACTTTTATAAACTCTCTGATAGGTTTGATGAAGACAATACAGTTTCCCAGTAAGAAACGGATGTATTCTTTCTGATCTGTAAGCAACATCAACCGACTCAGCTATGGCTTCTTTCCATTGCTGTAAATAAATAAATAAATAAATAAATATATATATATATATATATATATATATATATATATATATATATATATATATATATATATATATATTTGGTGAGGTAATTGCTACCGCCACTAACTAAAACATCTTGGAATGTTTGCATGTTCACAGAAAGATAATTCAAAGGATGTGGGGGTAAACAAGGAGAGCACTTCTTCCACATGAAAATATTACACATTCAAGAACTGGATTTTATTTTATTTTAATTTTAGTTATTTTCATGTAATATTTTTTACACATGAAAATATTATCGATCGGGAAATGGAGAGCGATTTCCCGAAAAATGCCTTGGGTTAAAATGAGACCAATGAATTTTTTTTACTTTTAAAATAATAAAAATATCCTCATTGACAGTTGTTGATTTTAATTTTGAATTTTTCTGTCAAAACCTAACTAGACTGAAGTAATTGATATTAAGTCGAATCAATTACCATATTTTTGAATAGGGTTATAGTGTTTTTTGTTCCACAATTATAATGTTTTTCTTAAATAGAGTTATAATGTTATTTTTGTTACTGAACCAAAAATACTCTTAACTTAGTCTTAATTGATTTAAATTCTCACAAACATTAATTATTAACCTTATTGTATGTATTAAGATTTCATAAAATTTTTTTATTTAAGAGTTCTTAAGTGATTTTGAATGACAATTAAAAATATTTTGACATATTTCAAAACAAAGGATGACAAGTTATTTTTTTTTATGTAACCAAAAAGTTAAGCCTATGATTTTTAAAAATCATATAAATTTTATTTTATTTAATAATACATAATTATGAATATATCTCAAATAAACTATGATAATTCTATTTTCTATTTTATCTTTGTCTTAGATTTAGGCCTAAATATTTTTAGAAAACTTTTGTAATGTTGATAATTGTTTATTATGATGGAATGATAATAAAAAATAATGAGACATTATCCAAGATTTTCAATGGACTTAAAAGTGTTTTTACCTTAGTAATAAAAAAACACTGTAAACTAAAAACATTGTAATACTAAATCAGTTTAGGTAACATTGGATTATGATGAAAAACCATTTTTAAAGGGTATTTTGATCTTTTTATAAAGAAAATTAACTCTTTTTGATAATATAAAAATCAGAGGAGGCATGATCTGAGAAAAACCCAAAACCTAAATCTTTTCTTGGAAAATCTCCCTTGTAAGAATTTAACAGATTAAAGAATTATAAAAAAGACCTTACTATGATGACAAAGATGTGTCTTTACGATCATGAAAATTAAGGTTTAGGTTTGAGTTAGAAAGTCTCAAAAGATAAGATCAATATATTTATCAATTATCATACTCATATTCTGTATAAGCGGAAGCCTCCTACTTTTTTTTTTTTTTTCTTCTAATTAAAAGAATGCCTTTTTAGTAATAGGAATGCAACATAAAGTTCATCATCCATTTTTCGGTAAAACAAAGCTGACAAAAATGACTAGTCAACTTTGTTGACTAACAAAAAGAATTCAAGTTTTTGGCTTGAAAAAATCTTAATTGAAATAATAATAATAATAATAATAATAATAATAATAATAATAATAATAATAAATAAATAATAAGTACATCATTGATTTGATACTATGTGAAGGTCCTCTCAAATATTAGAAGATAAAAAGATCTCTAAGTTCATGAATTAGGTGTTAGAATCCTTGCATATTCTAAACTTGGGGTTGATTTCTTTAAG